CCGGCGCCCGCCGCAGGAGAGAGCCATCGCCCGCGAGATCGCGTTGAACAACCACCCTGCACAGAAGACCCAAGACAGCGGCCCCGATCACGAACACCGAGCACACCAGCTGCAGGGACGTCGTCATCGAAACTTCTTCTCCAGACGGCGCAAGAGATGGCTGCGACGATGGGGCCGAGGCCCCAGATGCCCCGCGCAATGGAAGCGAAACCACGGATGCAGCGAACAACCGCCTCGACGCTTCCAGCGTCCCTTTCTTCGATTTCTCAATCGGTTAATCGCGCGACGGGGATAGCCCTCCTGAGGGGCAGCGGAGTTGTCGACCTGCCTTTTCTGTAAAACACAGAAGCCCCGCGCTCGACACGATGCGGCGCAACTCTGCAACGTCCCGCTCGCCCGCCCGACCAGCCCGTCAGGGTCCGCTCGCCCGACCTTGCTGCAAGAGGAGGAGGAGGAGGAGGAGGAGGAGGAGGAGGAGGAGGAGGAGGAGGAGGAGGAGGAGGAGGATAGAAATTGCTGTTGCAAGAAGAGCTCGAGGATAGGAGCGCTTGCATCCCCCACGTTCACCTCCTCATTCCTCACTCCTCTCCTCATCCTCTTCCCCGCCCACCCAGCCCGACCCGACACTCCCGCCCGATGTTTGGCCCGCGCGGTGGCCTCCCGCGCGCGCCCCACCCCGCGCGCCCGCCCGACTCTGCCGGTCAGGGCCTGCCCGCCAGACCCGCCCGTCAGGGCCCGCCCGAGCCGACCCATCCGTCAGGGTCCGCCCGCCCGACTCGACCCGCCCGACCCGCTGGTGGAGGTCCGCCCCATCCCGCCAGCGACCGCGCCCCGCGCGTGCCCCGCACGAGTGGACCCCGCATTGTGAAAGCCCGCGCCCGATGAGACTTGCCAGTCGGGGCCCACGTGCGCGACCCGATCCGCCCGACCAGGTTGGGTCTCACGCGATGACTTCTCGCCGCGCGTTCCCCACTCGATGCGTTTCGAAACTTGGAGCCATCTTGGGGCTCTCTTGGGGTTCTCTTGGGGCCCTCTTGGGGCCCTCCTGGAGCTCTTTCTGGGGGCTCTCTTGAGGGCCTCTTGGGGCCTCCTTGGAGCCCTCTCGGGGCTCTCTTCGGGGCGTCTTGGGGCCCCCTTGGGGCTCTTTTTGGGGGGTCTGGGGGCCTCCTTGGGGCTCTTTTGGGATGCCTGAGGGGCCTCTGGGGGCCGATCGTCCAGTCCGCCCTGCCTGCTGGTTGGGGCCCGCCCGCGCCGCCCGCCAGGGGGGCCCCGCGCATGTCCCGCACGAGTGTGGCCCCGCGCGTGAGAGCCCGCCCGCCCGACCTGCCCGTCGGGGTCCGACCTGCCCGCCCCGACCAGCCCGCCCGAGCCAGCGTCCCGCACCTCCTCCTCCTCCTCCCTCCTCCTCCTCCTCCTCCTCCTCCTCCTAAACCTTGTTGCCTGCCTCCATACTCTCCCACGCCTTCCTCATCCTATCCTCCTACCTACCATCTCTCCTCATCGCTCACTCTTCTCTACCTATCTCCTTCCTTCTCTCTCTTCTTCCCATCTCCCTTCTCTCACTCCATCCGTCCTCCTTCCTCCCCAGCCTCCCTCTCTCTCCTGCCTGTCTTCTCCCGCCGTCCCCTCCTCCTCCTCGCCCTCTCTCCTCACTCACCTCCTCCCCTCCTCCTCCTCCTCCTCCCCTCCCTCCCTCCACGACCCCTTCTCCTCATCTCCTCCTCCTCCCTCCTCCCCCTCCTCCCTCCTCCTCCTCCCCCTCCTCCCTCCTCCCCCTCCTTCCCCCTCTCCTCCGTCCTCTCCCCTTCCTCTCCTCCTCCTCACTCCTCCCTCCTCCTCCTCTCCTACCCTCTCCCCTCCTCACCCTCCCTCGCCCTCCTCCCTTCTTCCCCCCTCTCCTCCCCCTCCTCCCTCCCCCCTCCTCGCTCGGGCGTGCTGCTGTTCAAGATGGCCACTTTGTTTGAGAGGTCCCGACGATCCGGGCAAGCACGGGTCCGTGGGACATTCATTTAGTTTTCCCCTTGAGGGTACGAAGCATGCCCGCCACGTCGCGAGGGCCACGGGGCTGTAAAAAGCGAGAAGTGTACGGTCGGGGCGCGTGCCAAGAAACCAGTCGGATTTTGCCAGGGTGGCCTGGGTTTCTTGGACTTCGACGGGTCCCCAATGAGATCTTGACGATTTTCGATCGACGAATTCGGATTTCATGGGACAGATCGCGGGTTTCAGGGTTGGGTTTCTTGCGGATGTTTCTCGTGGCCGAGCCCCCCACCGTACCCTCCTCGTGCGTGCCTTCTTCTTCAGAGGGCCTGGCAGCGTGTGCGCGGGCGGGCCCGTGGGGCGCCCCTGGTCGAGACCCCCACAGGATGCCCAGGGTGTGGCGACTGCTACTTCGGCTGCGAGTCTGCGTACTCCAGATTTCGTAATAAAAGGGAGGGGGTTAGGACCCTCCCAGACGAGAAGTTTCAGACCCCCCAGACTATCCATGAAAGGGCGGCCCTTTGCGCAGACCCCCCCGAACCCTCCAAGACAGCTCAAATTAGACCCCCTAGGGATGCCCAACGTGTAGTAATCGCTACTTCGGCTGCGAGATTGCGTAGGCGTGAGCCCGAGCATGGGTGGGTCTACGCGCGAGCGAGTCTGAGTGCGAGTGAGTCCGTGTGAGTACGAGTCGCTACGAGCACGAATGTCTCTGGGTGTGAGTGCGCGGGCCTGAGTACCAGGGAGATCGAGTATGAGTGGGTCTGAGCATGACCGGTTCTGAGTGTGAATGCGTTTGAATATGAATTGGGGTACGACGACCCCCCCACCCTGGAACAAGGTGGGAGGGGACGGATTTCGACCCCCCCCTGCGCGTCGCCTGCAAACGAGGGGGGGGAGGAGGACGACGACAAGCGTCGTCGACGGCCTCGGCGTCGCCGGTGTCGACGGTATTGGTTTACGTTCTCCCAACCTCGCATCATCAATGAGTGAAGGTTACAGTAAATCTGATGTTCCGCCCAAGCGCCCGACTGAACATCCCGCCCGTCGTCGTCGTGTTTCTTTATTTCCTTTCCCCAACCATTCTTGTCAACGAGTGATGGGGGATTCCTCTGAACGTAGCGCCCGCCCGCCCGACTCAATGTCCCCTCCGCCCTTCATCGTCCTTGCCACCGTCGTGCGATGGCCCCTCGTCGCCCCTCGTCGCCGTCGTCGGTGTGTGCTTCTTCTCCCAACATCGTCATATAGCCAGGGTGTTATTATGAATTCAAATAACCGAGGGTTTTAGAACGAATTCAAAAAACTGCGGGATTTAGAATGAATTCAAAACCCCCCCGGATATTACTCAAGACGAGGGTTTTTCGAATTCATTCCCAAACCCCCGGGTTTTCTGGTTTTCTGACTTCTCCCAACATTGTCATATAGACGAGTCAGGGTTTCATTTGATGTCCTGCCAGCCCGACTGAGCGTCCCGCCTGTCGTTGTCGTCGACGTCTTCGCCGCAGTCGTCGGTGGCTTTCCTTTCTTTTGGTCCGACCACTGAGGAAGGGCTACTGTTTATGCCCCGCCAGCCAGCCCGACTTCAGGGTCGATCCGCCCGTCGTTGTCGTCGTCGGCGGCTGTGACGTCTTCTCCCCTAATCATGCCCCACCAACGAGTGAGGGTTGCACATAGTGTCCCACCCACCCGCCCGCCCGACTGAACGTCCCGTCCATGGTCGTCGTCGTCGTCGTCGTTGTCGTCGTCGTCGTCGGTGTCGGCGTCGGCATCGGCGTCGGCGTTGGCGTAAGAGTCGGCGTCGGCGTCGGCGTCGGCGTTAGCGTCCCGCCGTTGTTCTTGCTGGTGACCTCGTCGTCGGCGTCGTCGTGGTCGTGGTCGTGGTCGTGATCGTGGCCGCCGCCGCCGCCGCCGCCGCCGCCGCCGCCGCCGTCGTCGTCGTCGTCGTCGTCGTCGTCGTCGTCGTCGTCGTCGTCGTCGTCGTCGTCGTCGTCGTCGTCGTCGTCTCGTCGTCGTCGTCGTCGTCGGCGGCGGCGGCTGCCTTCTCGTCGCCGGCTGTCGTCGTGGGCGAAGTCGTTGTCTTTGTCCGCTCGTCGGAGTCGTCCTCGATCGCCTGGCCCTCTCAGACGGGGGTAGGGACGTTGGGTCATAATCTTATCCCCCTTCATTGCACCGAAGGAGAGGGGCAGAGGTCTCCGCAGTCGTCGCCGTCGTCGTGGTCGTCGTCTTCGTCTTCGTCGTTGTCGTTGTGTTCGTCGTTGTGGTCGTCGTCGTCGTCGTCGTCGTCGTCGTCGTCGTCGTCGTCGTCACCGTCGTCTCCGTCGCCGTGGTGGTCGTCGTCGTCGTCGTCGTCGTCGTCGTGTCCGTCGCCGTCGCTGTCGCTGTCGCCGTCGCCGACGCCGTCGCCGTCGCCGCCAATTAGTTGGCGGCTTCGGGTGGGTGTCAGGACCCCCCCTCGCTCGCTGAGCCTGGAGAAGGGGGAGGTGAGTTAAGGGGGAGGTTGCTTGGGGCGGCGAAGAGGTTCGGAGGAGGGCCTTTTTTTGTATGGGGGGGGTCTGGTCGGAATTTCTCAAGGCAAGCGAACTTAAAATGCGCTAGCTCATGTATGAGTGATCATGAGGTTGAGTCGGTCTGGACATGAGTGCGTCAGAGCATGAGTGGTCTAAGTAAGACGGAGTCGGAGTGTGAATGAGTCTAGGTTTGAATGAGTCTGAGTATGAGAGGGTCTGGCTGTGAGCGAGTCTGGGAGAGGGAGTTTGAGTGTGAGCGAATCTGAGCAGGGAGCAGGAGTGAGCCTGCAGATGAGAGAAGGAGGTGGGAGGAGGAAGATGAGGCGGAGGCCCCACGACTGAACAAGACAGGGAGTGCGAGAGGCAGGGGCAGACGCAGATAGAATGAGGCAGGGCATTATCGGCTACTCGTGAGCTGACGGCTGCCCATCCCCGTCCCCCCAGCCCCTCGCGCCCGTTCCTTCGGCCTGCCCCAGTCGGGGGCCCTTCTCTGCTCGCTGGCCTCCCCTCCCTGGCAGCCAGTCGGGCTCAGGCACCCGCAGCTGGAGCCGGCGCGGTAAGCTTTGCACCCCGACCGCAGGGCGCTGCCATCATGCGGCCTCTCTCGGGGGGTTCGTGCCGTTCCAGGCGCGACGAGGTGTGGGAGCAGAAGAAGCAGCGATTTCTTGCCAAGCAGCGCGCGGGCGGCGGCGGCGGCCCCGTCGGCGGCGGCGTGCCCAGGGCGAGCCCGCCGCTACACTTGGGAGATCATGCTGGCCAGGCTGCCCAGGGGGCTTCTTACTAAAGTGGGTGACGTCAGCATGTGGCTTCTTACTTAAAGGGGTGATATCAGTATGTGTATGTATACCGCGTGTGCTTGTGTGTGTGATATCGTGTGGTTACGCCTATGTTCATATGCATGTCTGCACACACACATGCGGTCACGTGTGTGTGTGTGGGTGTGTTCGTGCATGTCTGCCTCTCTCTATATATCCACACACACATCTACATAGATACACACAATCGTGAGGGACCGAACGGTCTTACACTGTCCCCGAGTGCATGGCTATAGTGGGCTTCTGTGGTGCGGATTGTCGTCGTTCTTGTTGTCGGCCCCCGCTCCGCAACCAGGGCCATTTGGGTGCGAAGCCACATGGCTCCATGTGGACGCATAGGAGCTCAGGTGGCCACCGGAAAGTGCGGCGGTCATATCCAGTTCTTTGGGCCCAAAGTCGGACTTTTCTCAGTGCAGGCAGTGTTCGGGGAATCGTTGCTGATCCTTCCTCGCCGGTGCCCGTAGTCAGGTCTTCCTCAGTCGATGTGTGTACCTTGATTCAGGAGGGAAAAAACACACAGACACAATTTATCGCCGATTCTCAGGAAAATATGCAAAAATATGGGAAGTGGGGGGAAGACGAACAAAAACCCAAATATAGGAAACTATGGGGTCTATTTTTATTTGTGTGTATTTATTTGTGTGTCCTGGGGCCCCTTCATTGATGCTCACACCCATTTTGCTGTCGAGCATGGCCTGTGGCGCTCGATCGCAACCACAACGGCTCCCGCATGGGAGGTCCTCACAGTTCTGACCCTCCGAACTTCCGCTGACCCCCAAATGCTTGAGGGTTTCATGATAATTGCACTTACGACGCAAGTTTTGAAGTGTTTTCAGGACATCTGCACCCCTGACCCCCCACAGCCACGAGTGCTGAGATGATGCTGTACCTCCGCGCTCTAATCTTTCCTCTTGTTGAGGGATGCTCTTTCCTCCACCTCTTTCTCCACCCTCCTCAGTCTCCTGCATTTTTCCTCGCTCCACCCCTCCTCCCTCCCTCTTTCTTCACCTTCCTCTCTCCCCTCTCTCTCTCTCTCCATCTCTCTCCCTCTCTCTTTCTTTGTTTCTTTATTTGTTTGTCTCTCTCAATGTGTATACGTATTTGTACATGCGTATCAACATGTATACGTATACGTAAATGCGTATGTAAACGTATGTGTGTATGTGTCTGGATATGTTTACGTATATGCATATGTAGATGTATAAGTATATGCATACGATGATACTGGAGAAAAAGCCCCAATCGTAATCTTTTTAGGGCTATAGGGCTATGAAGCTATGGGGCTATACGGCTGTAAGGCTATAGGGCTATACGGCTATAGGGCTATAGGGAAGGCTATAGGGCTATAGGGCTATAAGGCTACCTGGCACCCGCGCACGCGGGCACCCGGGCACCCGGGCACCCAGGCACCCAGGCACCCGGGCACCCGGGCACCCGGGCTCCGGGGCACCCGGTCACCCGGGCACCCGGGCAACCGGGCGTGCTGCCGAGATCGGCGCCATACCTCACCTAACCATGTGAATCCGCTAGGACCCTACAGAAGCAAGCTCTGACTGGGGAATATGTATCGGTATATGTATGTGCTTGGGTATCTGTATATGTATATGTTTATGCACATGTATGTGTACATGTATGTGTATATGTATAGGTGCATGTATATTCGTATGTTTCTGTTGGTGTATCTGTAAATGTATACTTATGCATATTCAGATGTGCATGTAAGTGTGTATGTAATGTGTATATATATATATATATATGCATTTGTATATACATACATATATATATATACAGGTGTACAGATAAAAGTATGTACATACGTATTTGGTATTCGCATGTGCATATTTTTCTGTATAGGTATTTGTATTTGTGCACCTACATATGTATGGTATATATACACGTAGATGTATATGTACATGTACATGTAGATGCAAATGTACGTATATGTATGTGTATATGTGTATATGTCTACATGTGCGTAACTATGTACGGCCATGTATATGTATGTGTACTTGTGTTTGTATTTGCATTTGTATTTGTAGTTGTGCATGTTTATGGTTATGTCTATGTATATGTATATACATTTGTATATGTAATCGAATAGGTATTTGTATGCGTATCTGTATGTTCACATGTATATGTAGATGTGTATATACATATGTAGATTCATATGTTTACGCATTTATATAGACATTTGTATGTTTACAAATACACATCCATGCATATGCATATACATGCAACTCCATACACACATCGTTATCGGTATCTGTATACACATATACGATATGTGTCAGAGGTTGGGGGTGAGATCGCAGTGGAACGGAGACCCACAACCGCGAAATCAGTTCGTTTCGTTCGTGTCGTGCGTGCGGGCGAGGCGAAGCTGCGTGGGCGCGCGAGAGGAATGAACCCGCCGTTGCTAGGACGAAGTCAAGACAAATGATTCTCCCCTGTCCGTCCGTGAGTCCAGCGGTGGCCCTAGCGATGTCCCGCGGTGTCCCGTCGTGTCCCGTGGTGTCCGCCGTTGCGAGGGCGAAGTCAAGACAAATGATTCTCCCCCGTCCGTCCGTGAGTCCGGCGGTGGCCCTAGCGGTGTCCCGCGGTGTCCCGTGGTGTCCCGTGGTGTCCGCCGTTGCGAGGGCGAAGTCACGACAAATGATTCCCCCCCGTCCGTCCGTCCGTCCGGCGGTGGCTCGGAGTGTCCCGCGGTGTCCCGTGGTGTCCCGTGGTGTCCCGTGGTGTCCCGTTGAGTGAGATCTATAGTGAGATCGATAGTGAGATCGATAGTGAGATCGATACTGAGATCGATACTGAGATCTATGTGGCGCCTCGAGGTGTCCCGTGGATTCCCGTGTGGTGTCCCAAAATGTGAGATCGATAATGAGATTAATCGTGAGATCGACAGGTGTCCCGTAGTGTCCCGTGGTGTCCCGTTGAGTGAGCTCGATAGTGAGATCGATAGTGAGATCGATAGTGAGATCGATGTGGTGCCCCGAGGTGTCCCGTGGTGTTCCAGAAAGTGAGATCGATAGTGAGATCGACAGGTGTCCCGTGGTGTCCCGTGGTGTCCCGTGGTGTCCCGTGGTGTCCCGTGGTGTCCAGTGGTGTCCCGTGGTGTCCCGTTGAGTGAGATCGATAGTGAGATCGATAGTGAGATCGATAGTGAGATCGATGTGGTTTCCCGAGGTGTTCCGTGGTGCCCCGTGATGTCCTATGGTGTCCCGTTGGGTGACATCAATAGTGAGATCGATATTGAGACCGATAGTGAGATCGAGAAGTGTCCCGTGGTGGCCCGTGGTGGCCCATGGTGTCCCGTGGTGTCCCGTTGACTGAGATCGATAGTGAGATCGATAGTGAGATCGACAAGTGTCCCTTGGTGTCCCGTGGTGTCCAGTGGTTTTCCGTGGTGTCCCGTTGAGTGAGATCGATAGTGAGATCGATTGAGTCAGATGTTGGTTCCCCCTACGGTGAGCATTTGTTTGCATAGAAAACTCATCCGGTACAACTTCGGGTGCGGCCAGGGAGGCTGGTTCGCGAACGCCCCAGGAGGGCCTACGACGGCCCCAAATGGCCCCCAGACGGTCCTGGAGGGCACCAGGAGGCCTCACGAGGGCCAACGAAGGCCCCCAGACGGCCAAGATGGGCCTAAGATGGCCACTCAACGGCCCAACGGGCTCCCCAGATGGCCCAAGAGGCCCGAAGACAACTCCCAAGAGGCCCCCCGGGAGGCAACAAATACAGGTTCTCCTTGGGTCTCGGTGCCATTCTCGCGAACTCTGCTTCTGGGTCTCAAGCGCGCTCGAGGCGGCCGAAGAGGCCCCCGAGATTGCTCCAAGATGGCCCAACTGGGGCCCAAGAAGGCCCAAGACGAGCCCAGAGTGGCCCAAGAGGGGCCCAAGAGGGCCCCAAGACGCTCCAGGAGGGCCCTCGGAGGAGCTCCAGACGGCCCAAGAGGGCCCCAAGATAGCCCAGCTTGGCTCCCAGACCCAGAACGGTCCCAAGAGTAAACACAAGTGTCTCGAACCCCAGGAAAGGGCCGATCTACAGGCACATATGAAAAACACATCGGATTCGAGCTCCAGGAGATGGGCAATCTATAGGCACACACGTAACACACACAGTGCCGGCAGCCGCCGGGCCTGAGAGACGCCTCCCTTCGCCCTCCCATGGAAAGGTGCAACCTAAAGGAATACACGTAGAACACATAGGATACCCTCCTTAGGTGGCCTGGAACAGTGAAAAGCACGTGGCTCCAGCTCGGGACAACCATGTCAGATACCCCCCCTTTGGTGGCCTGGACACGCTGAAACACATGGTTCCAGCGCGGGACCACCATGTTGGATATCTCCCTTGGGTGGCCTGGGCACGTGAAAACACATGGTTTCAGCCCGCCCCGGCAACGCCCCCAGCAGCGCGGAGGACCCTGTCGCCGGACTGGTGAGACGCCTCTCCCCTGCCCCACGTGTCGAGATTCTGGTGCGAGACGAGTCGAGCCAGAATGCAATAGTGCGTCTCATTTCTGGATCTGGGAGGGCTGACATCGAGCAGCACAACAAAGTGAGTTTCATGTCTCGACCAAATCGAGCAAGAACGCAAGAGCGAGCCGCACTTCTGAGCCAGATCGAGCTCGCATTCCGGAGCCAGATCGAGCCAGAACACCATGGTGAGCGTTGCCAGCAGATTCTGGGCAAATCCCGTGCCGCCACGACATCATTATGAGCTGCATGTCTGGACCACATCGAGCCAGAACAACACAGTGAGCGCTGCCAGCAGATTCTCGGCCGCGCCATTGGGCCTGTGAGACGACTCCCCCCAGTCTTAAGTCGGGCCTGTCCCTCTACAGGAGGAATATCCCAAAAAGCCAAAAATAGTCGGGGGACTATTTTGAGAATATTTTTCGACCATTTGGGAGTATTTGTTGTATATTTTTTATTTTTCGTCGAACAGCCCCCTGTAGGGGGACACGCCCGACTTAACCCTAGTCCCCCCTGAGGAGATTTTGGTGGGAGGAATCGTTGACCCCCGTTGGAGCCCTGCAGCGACACGTGATCAGGGAAACAGCTACCACTTTGAAAAATTCTGCAGAGCATTGCTGTTGCCATCCTTGTCGTCGTCGCCCCATGGCCCGCCTGCGATCCCGCGACCCGCCCCCGACGTGCCTCGACCACACGGCGACTCCCCTGCGACCCGCCCGCGACCCGCGCCCGTCTCCGCGCCCGCTCTGCCTCGCCCCCCGATCCGCCTGCGACTCGCCTCACGACCCGCGCGTGACCCCTCGGCAGCTCGCCTGCGGGCCGGTGCTGCCCAGCTGGCCATCCGGGCCCGCTGCGCCCCGCGCCCGTCAGGCCCGCCCGTGCCGTCGTGGCCCTACCCCTCTCGCTCTTGTCTGCAAGCGCGGGGGCTTCTGTCACAACTTATGTGTCTATCTTACCACCCACCAAACCACCCCAACCCAACCCGAAGGCTTCAATTTGCCCTCCATTTCCAGTGGGGGGGGTCGGGGAACGTTGAAAAAACACACGGAACCCGTACCCCCCCCAACCCGAAATTCGGGTCAAATTCGGGTCTTCGGGTTGGGTTGGGGTGGTCTGGTAAGTAGTCACTATCAGGCGCGGCAGCCGGCGCCCAAGTCGCCGCTGTCCCGCATGGTCGAGGAGGGCTATTCGGCGGCCCAGCAGCCCGCCTCCGTGCAGAAGCCCTACGGCAGCTCCCAGCAGAGTTCTGGATCGCGGGGTGCTCGCGGCACCGAGCCAGGCGGCTTCAGCGCTGCAGTGGCGAGCCAGTGGAGCTCCAGCGTGCAGCACGACCAACAGCAACGGCAGAACCGCCACGACCCGAGTGTCGTGGGCCCGCCCAAGCAGTCGGGGGGCATAAGCTGCTCACAGGCCCCCGGTGGGGGGGCGTCGATCGACTTGTCTTGGGGCCCCACAGGCGGCGGCGGTAACGTCATGCCCCCCCGCATGCCGGGGGCGCCTGGTGTCGGAGCCCAGCAGCCAACGCCCCAGCACCAGAGGCAGCAGCCTGCTCACCAGTACCCCCCGAGGACTGGTGGCAGCGGTGGGTCCTACAGGGGCCCCTCACCAAGCCACCGTGCTCTCGGCGGTGCGCCCTGGGGTCGCGACGGCGATGCGCCGGCAGCTCGGCAGCCGTCCCCGGCGCGCCGGGAGGCGCCCTTCGGGACGGACGCGGGCGCACCCGCCATGCCTGGCAGGGGCGCGTCCTACGCGCGTGCGCCCTCGCCCGCGCAGCAGGCGTATGCGCGCGCGCCGTCGCCGGTGGGTGCGTCGGCGGGCTTCTTCGGGGGCGTGGGCCAGCGGGACCCTGCCCCGAGTGCCGGCGCGCCCCGGGGTCGCGGCTTGGGCCGCACGCCGGGTGGCACTTCGCAGGTGGTCTTCGGCTGAGCGGCCGCAGCGAGGGCGAGGCCGTGCCGCGCAGCGCTCCAGCGCCGCAGGCTCCGTGCAGCATGGCCCGCCCGAGGTTCGCCTCTGCTGAGGGTCGCCGCTGTAACTGGCGCTGCCGAGAGCGCCAAGTTTACGAGTCGCCCTCGGGATAGAATAGTATGGAGTGCAAGTTCGCAGGGATGGCGATTGGTGGCGCTTGCCATGGTGACAGTGGCGCCAGCAGTAGCGTTGTAGGCGCCACAGAAGTTGGTGGGTTCGCACGCCAGAGGCCACCGCGAGGATCTGCATGGACTTGTGTTAGGAGGAGTCTGCCTCCATTGACTGTGGTCCGCGCTGGAGGACTGGAAAAGATGCACGACCATTTCAATCCTCCCTCTTTCCTTCCTGACAGAGCAGCTTAGTGCTCTCGATGCCCACGCCACAGCACACCACACGCCACCTCTGGAGCTGGGGGGACGAGCGACGCTCGCCAGCGAAGCCACCATGACTGGGGGAGACAACAAGACAGGCACGAACATTCGCTTCCTCCATTCATGATCGGCTGCGTTCCCGAACTCGGCACTCGCGCACGAGAAGTGGCCACTCGCCGTGTGGGAGCGTGTGTTGTTTCCTCTTTCCTCCAGCAGGGCGATCCGGCTTACCAGAGAGCCTACGTCAAAAACCCTAATAAGGACGCGCGACTTTGCTCAGGGTACCCTTGCGTCCTTGCTCTTCCTTGCTCTCGCGTCCTTGGGGTTTTCGTCGTCCGCCGCCCCAGAAATCCTAACTTCGGCTTCCAAGGGTCTTGCCTCCTTACCGCGCGTTCTTATTAGGGTTTTTGATTGTACAGGGAAGATCCAGGGGCTTCCAGGGCATTCAACGGGAGGTCCAGGGCCATCGGCACGCGGGGCGCTCCCGTTCTCCAGGGAGCCTCCGGGGAGCTTCCGGGGGCACCTCGGGGAGCCTCCGCGGGGGTTCCGCAAAGAGGGGCCGCACGGGTGAGCAGGCCCCCGCCCCTCGGGGAGCCTCCAGGAATCGCCCAGTGGAGTTCCAGAGCCTTTTGTCGGGCTACAGGAGCGGTATACAAAAATAGTAAAAAAATAGTCTGGGGGCGATTTTTTGATAGACCATTTTCGAGTATTTTTTTTATTGCGAAGGCCTGACGGCCGGTGCCGCCGACCCTGTTCGCAATGCGCAGCAAGAGATTACGAGGTTGCTCAAGGTCGGCTTGGCTGGAGCCCAGGGGAAGAGGAGTCCCAGGGGGGGGCGTCGTATCTGACCCGGGGGGGGGGTCGCTACCCCCCCCCCCTCCCGGCGGGGGAGGGATCAAAGGGAAGGGGCTTCCCTTCGACTCAATTACGAGGTTGCTCAAGGTCGGCTTGGCTGGAGCCCAGGGGAAGAGGAGTCCCAGGGGGGGGCGTCGTATCTGACCCGGGGGGGGGGTCGACACCCCCCCCCCCCTCCCGGCGGGGGAGGGATCAAAGGGAAGGGGCTTCCCTTCGACTCAATTACGAGGTTGCTCAAGGTCGGCTTGGCTGGAGCCCAGGGGAAGAGGAGTCCCAGGGGGGGGCGTCGTATCTGACCCGGGGGGGGGGTCGACACCCCCCCCCCCTCCCGGCGGGGGAGGGATCAAAGGGAAGGGGCTTCCCTTCGACTCAATTACGAGGTTGCTCAAGGTCGGCTTGGCTGGAGCCCAGGGGAAGAGGAGTCCCAGGGGGGGCGTCGTATCTGACCCGGGGGGGGGGTCGACACCCCCCCTCCCCCGGGGGGCTGGAAGCCCGAGGGTTGAAGAGAAGAGGAGGCGGGGGGGGCGTCGTATCTGACCGGGGGGGGGGGTCGACACCCCCCCCCCCCTCCCGGCGGGGGAGGGATCAAAGGGAAGGGGCTTCCCTTCGACTCAATTACGAGGTTGCTCAAGGTCGGCTTGGCTGGAGCCCAGGGGAAGAGGAGTCCCAGGGGGGGGCGTCGTATCTGACCCGGGGGGGGGGTCGACACCCCCCCCCCCTCCCGGCGGGGGAGGGATCAAAGGGAAGGGGCTTCCCTTCGACTCAATTACGAGGTTGCTCAAGGTCGGCTTGGCTGGAGCCCAGGGGAAGAGGAGTCCCAGGGGGGGGCGTCGTATCTGACCCGGGGGGGGGGTCGACCCCCCCCCCCTCCCGGCGGGATCCAGGGGGAGGTTGCTCAAGGTCGGCTTGGCTCCCTGAGAGGAGTATCAAAGGGAAGGGGGGACTTCTCAAGGTCGGCTTGGCTGGAGCCCAGGGGTTGCTCAAGGTCGGCTTGGCTGGAGCCCAGGGGAAGAGGAGTCCCAGGGGGGGGCGTCGTATCTGACCCGGGGGGGGGTCGCTACCCCCCCCCCCTCCCGGCGGGGGAGGGATCAAAGGGAAGGGGCTTCCCTTCGACTCAATTACGAGGTTGCTCAAGGTCGGCTTGGCTGGAGCCCAGGGGAAGAGGTCTCCCATGGAAAGGGAAGGACAGAGACGACGAGTACAAAGAATGACGGAGATGACGGCTCGAACGGAAAAGCCCCTCACACACGCCGACAGGGTCTTGATAGACCATTTTCGAGTATTTTTTTTATTTGTCGTCCAAAATCCCCCCCCTGTGGGGGGACACGCCCGACCTAACCAGAGCCCCAAGGGAGCTTCCAGGTCCTCCAGGGTCTCCCGGGTCTCCCGGGCCGCCTCCGCCGTGCAGACCCCGCAGGGCCTTCTGGGAGCAAACAGGCCGGGGCGGCGAGCAGTGCCCGCTCCCCCTGGCGGGAACGCTCCCCGCGGTCGTCGGCAATGCGTCACTTCCACGCCCTCCTCCTCCACCTCCTCTTCCTCCTCCTCCTTCTCCTCCACCTCCTCCTCCTCCTCCATTCTGTTCCTTTCTCTACGCTGGGCTCCTCCATTCTTTATCGATAATTCCTCCCTGTCGCACCCCGAGGCCAGTCGAAAGGGCGGGCCGGGCGTTTCGCTTGAGATCTCTCCATTAGATATGACCCTAAAGCTTAAACGTTGGCAACAGTTTCACAAATGGAGGGCGGGTGGTCTTCAACATGTGGCTCTTACCTTAGCGCCGCGCAAATTCGTTTCAAACATGTTCAAGAGCCTTACGGATTGAGGGCGGGCGGTTTTCAAACTATAGCTTTGGCTTTAGACCCGCGCACCTTCGTTTAAAAACAACTGCATGAGTTCCAAGGATTTGGGGCGGGCGGTTTTCAACATGGGGCTCTTGCTTTAGCGCCGCACACACTTGTTTTAACAGTTTGCAGGACTTTCACGGATTGAGGGCGGGCGGTTTTCAATTTGTGGCTCTCGCCTTCGCGCCGCGCACATTCGTTCAAAATGCGAGAGTTCCACTGGTTCCCAGGGTCAACGTACCAGAAATGGTGTTTTGGACGGATTCAGGATTATCCGGGTGCGACAGTTACGTTGGTTCGCGGTGTTGAAGTTCCAGGAATGGTGTTCTGGCGCGATTCAGGATCGTCAAGACGAAACAGTCAGGTTGATCCGTGGCGTTGGAGTCCCGACTTGAGCTCATACTGGTCCTTGTCCTCCTCCTCCTGTTCCTCGGCGTCTTGCTCCTGGGCCGTCGGCGTTCTTGGCCTTTTTTGGGGCCTCTGGAAGCTTCGGAGGCCTCTATGGACTGACTGCGTCCCAAATGGAGGTGGGCGTGTCCAATGGTTACGCTGTCCCCTCGTCGTCACGCGGCTCGAACGGAGGATCGGGAAATTCCGGCGGACCGCTTCGAGATCCCATCTGCTCCTCCTCAACACCATCCTCCGGCACCATCTCACATCCACCCACTACCGACGAGGAGGAGGAGGACTAGGAGGACGAAGAGGACTAGGAGGAGGAGGAGGAGAGGAGAGGAGGAGGAGGAGGAGGAGGAGGACGAGGAGGAGGAGGAGGAGGACGAGGAGGGAGGAGGAGGAGGAAGGAGGAGGAGGAGGAGGAGGAGGAGGAGGAGGAGGAGGAGGAGGAGGAGGAGGAGGAGGAGGATGCGCAGAGCGGTCGCAGCCGTCGCGCCCCGTATCACCCCCACTTCGCGAGGGCGGCAGCGCACACATCCATACCGACTTCTCGCGGCCATGGCGACGCCGTCCCCGCTGCTGGCGGCGCCAGTGCTTCTGCTCGCGACCGTCCGCAGCGCTGGACAGCTGGGACCGGCGAGCCCAGACCCCCTCGAGTCTCCTCGGAGGGCGGCGGGATGGCCGAGGAGCCCTCGCGCCCTCGGGCCAGCTGCCCGCGCCTCCGGGGAGGGCCTCGGACAAAACCTCTCCGGAGGCCAGGGGGACTTCCGAGCCTGCTGAGGTCGACTAGACGTAAGAGTGACCTTTGGTGCGGGCACAGGTGAAAACGAAGCAGCAGCAGCTGCTTGCGCGCCCAGGTTTGGTCCCCCCTCGGCCCCCAAAAAGTCGCGCACCAAAGGTCACTCTTGCCCAGGGTCACTCTTGCGTATAGCCGATGAGGAGGCCTGCCCCTTCCCGCTCCCCCCCCGGGCGCGCCGCCGAGACGTGCCTCGGCGCGCCGCGCCAAGGCGTGGTGGGCCAGCACCGGCGGCGCGACGCGCCGAGCCACAGTTCCAGGCCGCGTCGTCATGATCAGATCACGGCGCGAGGCTTGTCGCTGTTTTCGGCCTTCGGAGGCCCTTGCCGGGCCGCGGGACCATCGAACAGCGGCTCAGGATGAGAAGCTGGTCGTGGGGCATGGGTCGAGACCCCTGGGGGTGGACGTCACGAAAAAAATATCCCGGCAAAGCAACCTAACAGCGATGTGTAGGAGCATATCTGGAATCATTCCCCTTAAGATTCGGATGAGAATCCAGTTGTAGAATTCTGCTGTTCTCGCAGTCGCAGTCGCATTCGCGATGACAGTCGCAATGGCAACGGCAGTCGCAGTCACAGCCTCAGTCTCAGCCTGCATCAGCCTCAGCCTGCCTCAGCCTCAGCCTCAGCCTGCCTCAGCCTCAGCCTCAGCGTGCTTCAGCCTCAGCCTCAGTCTGCCTTCAGCCTCGGCCTCAGCCTCAGCCTGCCTCAGCCTCAGCCTGCATCAGCCTCAGCCTCAGCCTCAGCCTGCCTCAGCATCAGCCTGCCTCAGCCTCAGCCTCAGCCTGCCTCAGCCTCAGCCTCAGCCTGCTTCAGCCTCAGCCAGCCTTCAGCCTCGGCCTCAGCCTCAGCCTGCCTCAGCCTCAGCCTCAGCCTCAGCCTCAGCCTGCCTCAGCCTCAGCCTGCCTCAGCCTCAGCCTCAGCCTCAGCCTCAGCCTCAGCCTCAGCCTGCCTCAGCCTCAGCCTCAGCCTCAGCCTCAGCCTCAGCCTCAGCCTGCCTCAGCCTCAGCCTCTCAGCCTGCCTCTGCCTCAGCCTCAGCCTGCTTCAGCCTCAGCCTCAGTCTGC